TACTTTTCCTCTCATTGTATTTTATTATCTTCTGCTGTAGTAAAAGCCAATATATTTCTATATATTTATCAACAAAGTAAACATCTTTTAACTAAAGTCCCACCTTCCCTTTGAGAAAATTACATTTAAGTGTATTGAAATTTTAAATAATAAATGGTCACTCATTTTTCTCAAGATAAATTATTATTACTTATTCATTTAACGAGATATTTTGTTTTGCATATGAAAATACCCTTAATTTTAACCAATGGAAAAACCAAAGTTTGCCCAAGGAGAACTATGCATAGTAGCTAAGTAATTCGTACATTATTATACTATGAGAAGTACATAACATTATAATTACTTGGACATCTACCAAATTTTTAACTTTAATCAATACTTTTGTGGCTAATAAAGTCGTTCATAATCTTTTACGCCACATGTTAATAATAAGTATAATGTAATATAATGGGTAATACACAATTAAATTTAATATGCACGCGTTTATTTTAATGTTATGTATGTTGTAATTTTATGAGCAATTTCTCATTCGATACAACCTTTGTTCAAACATACAACTATGATATAAATGGAACTAACTTGACGAAATCAATTATTTCAATTATGCACATGAATAATATTTCTAAATTTTTTGCATAGTTAAAATTATTATCAAATTTGACGAAATTAATTTTTTATATAAAAATTTTGATAATGTAAATTTCGTAAAAAATACCTTGTTTTCTTGAAGGGTATTTTTGGTACTTTATATATATTTTTTCACAATCAATAGTTATTAAATAAATATCATCACATCAAAGTGTAATTTCCCCCTTTTTTTTCTTCTTTTCTTCCTCCCACGTTATTTCTCACTTCCTTTTTCACTTTGTATTCGTTTAGTAGGACATCACTGGTGCGTTTCTAAGGCTTGTGTCTAAAGCTGTTGGGTCTTATTCTTGTAGGATACTTGTCACTGCATCAGGATATGAGCCCTTTGATGTTACGGCTCTATTTTTTTAAAATTAAAATTTTTTAAAATATCTTTTTTTTATCTACCTTAAAATCGAAACCCTAAACCATAAAAATACAAAATCACGTGCGGAAGAGAACATTATGCCACTCCCACGTGCATTTGAACTCAAGAATCAATATATTTTAGATTATTGTTTAACTTTAATGAAGTTTAAAAAGGATAATTTTCATTTATTTTAGAATAAAACTAATATTTTTAAAAATTTTTAAAATAAGCACAAACTAATATATAGTTTTTGAAAGAATAATGCGGGTGCGTGGGGGTGGTGTGGACAAATCATAGCTAGGGAGGTGGAAGGTGGGGGCTGATGACTGAGGAGGAATCTTATTTAAGTCTTGATTGGTAGTTTATAGAGCAAGGGTTTTTAGACTTTCAAAGAACCAAAATCAAAGATAATTTTGGTGATTAAGAAGGGAGGGGACAAAGCCAAAGCCAAAGCCAAAGCCAGTGAATTGGACAAAAGATAATATCTTGTACATTATCCCATACTTAGGTTACATCTTCCCACCTTTCTTTTCTTAGCCTTATATTGTTGACATCTCTCACAACTTAGTCGACTGCTGCTTCTTTGATGATTATGCCAACCTTAGTGATTTCATCTCACGGTTGCAACCCTCAAAATCTCTTTAATCACTTTCTGCCTTGGACTTGTCATTCCTATTATTGTTACTACCGACACACTTGCGTTTCGCGGCACTCTATCCGACCTTATCTTATTCGGTAAGATTTTTTTTTCTAATCTAATTATATTGTTTTTATTATTAATATGTTTGTTCGTAAAAGACAGAATTATGCTTTTAGTTGGTTTATTTTTCATCGATAGATGTTGATTAGAAGTGTTCATGGATCGAACAAAGCCACATGGGTTGATACTTTTAAAATTTAAGCACAAGATTCTACTCGGTTTATCCGTTTACTATATTTATTATTAAAAAATAAATATATTATTAAATTATTAAAAAAATTTTAAAATTAAAATTTTAATATAATAGTATTTTTAGGTTGGTTCGACTTAAACCAATAAAATATGTCCAATTTCCATTCATAGACACTTGAATGTGGATTTCATTTATTCAATTTTTGAGAATACTTAATTGAAAAAATTGTACGCAACTTGAGCCTTATTTTCAGTTAACAGAGTTGAGTTGAATATATGGTTATGTTTGACTTCTCAATATTGGTTAAAGATAGTGGTTATCCTTTTCGTTTAAGTTTCTAAATTTGAAACAAAGAATAATATCTTATAAATTAAATAAATATAGTCAATTTCTTATTTTTTATAAGGAAAATAGCTTTTCTTCCTTTTATTGCAAAGGCACTTAAAAATGTCTAATTGAAAATTAATAATGAGTTTATAGATAAGATATTTTAATGAATTAAAATAAATATTTAGTCTATCAAATAAATTTATTTGGTTTAATCCTTAAAAAATGGTTTGGGTTAATTTCATTTAGTTCAGCCTACTACCACACAGCCTAATATTAAGGATTTAGGGGTGCCAAAACCCTAGGCAACTCTTATATAAAGGAGTCTTCGCAACTCAATGGCCAACCAATTCCAAAGCAGAGGAATCCTAACCTTATTTCGAGTTCTAAGAGTCATTGGTTGTGTTTACGAATTTATTTGAAGATTTATTCATCTATGCCTCTCTACAATCAAGCTTTCGGCCTTGAAAACCATTCAAACTTCTTCTTTACAACATAAAGGCGTTTTCAAGATATTTTCAAGTCCTTAAAGACCATCAAATTAGAGGATTATTTTCGTCCACAAAAACACCACAAAGAGAATTGTACGTATTATTTAATTTAATAAGAATTAAATTCTTCTGCTCCAAGTTTTCAAGACAAGAAATATATATGTGTACAAATTGTAACACTCTCGATTTTGATGTGAACTATGTGGTGTGGATTAAGTCAATTGAAGATATGTTTGTGTGCATAGAGAATCATTTTTAAATATATTGTGTGTATTTGAGGACTTATGATGATATGATAAATATGTCTAATGTATAAAGCTTATACTATGCCATTTAGACACATTTTATGGAAGCATGTGATGAATCCTAAAATTTGAGATTTTGATCTCAATTTGATCTTATATTTGAGTATATGTTTAAAGAATTTTGAGTTGTGTGAATGTTTGAGATGTGGATATTGGATGGAAATGAATTAGGAGTCTAAAGAAGTGAATTTGGGGACTTTAAGAAATGAAAATATGAAATATGAGCATGAGATAGATGTTCTACATCTATTGATAGATTCAAGATTAAAAGCTTGGGAAGGCAATTTGGATGAACATTTATCGACAGATGACCAACCAAGAACCAAATGAAGTATGTGGGACAAAATCTATCGGTAGGTAGTTGCACGAATTAAATGAAAATCAAATTGAGAAACATCTATCGATAGATCCACGGAATCTATCGATAGATAGTTAAACGGGAAAGATGTGAAAAGGGCCAAATGCACCATCTATTGATCGTCTTGATGAATCTATTGATAGATGATGGTCAACGCCAACATATATCAATGGGATCTATCAATAAATGCTTTACATTTATCAATAGTTCAATGCAAAAACGCAAAAATAAAAAGGGGATTCCGGCCATTTTAACCTAAAACAAAACCCTCTTTCTCAAACCCTTAAAATCTTAACCCTCAAACAAATTTTTAGAGCCATTTGGAGTAGATCAAAGCTTGGGAAATGCTTCTAAAGGTAAGATTAAGCATTTTTATCAATTGATTTTCAATTTAATCGATTAATAACTTAGAATCAATTTAATCCAGCTTTGGTGAAACCTTTTCCCTTGAGTTTGCTGGAGATTTGTAGTTAAGATTTGGGCAACCTAACTACTAAAGGTAGGATTCAATTCATAGTTGAAGAATTTGAGCTTGTATTATAGATTGTTAAGAATTAGGTTACCTTTGAAAAACTAGAGAATTTTCAAAAGTTAAGAAATAATTATTGTTTTGATGTTATGATGTGTTCTAAAGGGAAAATTGATGCTTTTGATGCCTTTGTGAGCAGGAGGATGATTGAAGGCTAGAAGTTGAGATTGATTGTGGGACCACCTCCGATTATCACGATGAGTTGGATTTTATTTGAAATGCATGTGATGCAAACGCATTGTTAAATATGCTACCATGATACTAGAATTTGTATGTACACCTAGATGAATGTGCTTAGGCCAAGAAATTTTTTATATATGTATCTATATATTTTATATGTGCTGTGTATGTGTCTGCCTTAGTGCAAGCCACTTAGTGGCATTCCTCTAAGCCTAAACTATGAGGTCTAGTGAATGTGATGGACGTTTAGGAGTAGTTTACTCTAGACATTGAACCTCATGGAGGATTATGAATATTTGATGCCTTAGAGAGTTAAGGGCATTTATATGAGATAGTAAGCTAGAAATGTTTAGAGCTCAAAAAAGTATCCTTTGTTATAGAATGTGGTATGTGTGATACCTAAGGTATGATGGGCTCGTTTATGGATTTATATTCTGTACAATGATGAGAATTTCAGACGTCGAGTTGATTTGAGGTTAAATGGAGTCCTCACCTAGTGACTATGTTCTGTTTCCCTAAGGATGGTGGTAAATAGGGACGGTGGTATTAGTCTCGCCTATGATTTATGCTTGCAGTGCTTTAATGCAATCCACTGAGATTATTTTGGATGATGATTATGTTCTCCATCGACCACTTCTGCACTGATGTTGCCATCCGTTGACACTACTTCGAATGATGACTATGCTTTCCATCCGTTTCTTTGGCATACGCATGATTTGACCGTCTGCCAGCAGCTTGACCTTAAGCATGATTTGTCTCTGTCGGTTGACCACCGAGCATGATTTAATGATGTCCAAGGAAAAACATTTTATGATTGTGATTTGAATTATGAGTGATATGATAGAGCCTTAGATAGCTTAGACAAATTGGATTTGAATTTGGTATAATTCTCCGGTGACTAAGGTGTGCCTATGGAGAATAGCTTGTAATGGCTTTGAAGACAAGCCTAGTGATACACACCATTAGTGAAGACTCTTTAGGCATGATTGATATGCCTCTAACATTGAAGATGCTTGTTAGAACATTTGGTTGCATTGATAGTGTAGTACATATGTATGCATATTTTGTCAATTATATATATATTTGATTTATCTGCATCCTTCATTAAGTATTATATGGCTCACCCATTTAATGCACTATGTGTAGATAAATAGGCCACAAGATCACATGGTAAAGGCCATCCATTGACAAACAAATTTTGGCATCTGATAGGCTTCCATTCTGATATGTTCACTCTACTTAGTCTATCATGAGCTTCCACATCTAGTTTGGTTTGTACTGTATTAGGCACACGGTGCCATTTAGACTTATGTAAGGGTCGTAAAGTACAAATCCGCTTGATGGTCAATTTATGGCCTTATGTATATTGTATTAAATATAGTGTATGAACAATATGCCAAGGATAATTTTATGTATTTGAATTTAAATTATATTTTGAAAATATTTCATGCAGAATCCCTTAGCTAATAATGTATGATTTTGATTTGAATTTCTAAAGTTTACTCGAGTCTCGCGGGTCTTGCTTTTTGGGCTTATGCATTGGTCATAGCTCTCTGAATTGGGTCATGACAATTTGTATCAAAGTACCTAGGTTTTAAAGCATTCTAGGTTGTCTTCTGTTTGTCAACAGAGTGGCGAGATTAGTGTAGAGTCTTGTTCACAGTTTGTGACTGCAACACAAGTCATGAGCAGGAAGTTATACGAATCCCAAGTTTTTAGTAAGCTAACCCCATTTTTGGGCCATGAATTTTTGGTATTTTGAATATGATATTGCTTCATCTTGGTACAGGATGCCGCTTAAGATAAGAGTTGTCTCAAGAGCTATGAGAGAGCATAATGCCCCGGATGAGCCTAGGGAACAACCACGAATGTCTTCTTCAAGGAGCCATGGCAAAAGTGTTAGGAATTTTGAGAATATGGTGCCTGGGAAAGCAAATATATTCTCATAACTAATTTCATTTAATTTGTTTGTAATGAAAGTACATTTTGATATTAAGGAAAAAAGTTTGTTTTAAGTAAACATTTAATATCTAGTGATTAAGGTACCATGATTCTATTGAGATATAAAAATACATCTATATAAAGCGTCATACATAAAAGCCATGTATTTAATTGAATCTAAAAATTGTTCATAGCGATATAATAAAACTGGTCATTTTATTGTGTTAAGATTGCAGTGCACGGATTACTTCCAATGAAACCAATGCGATTCACTTCAAGGAAATGATGAGTCTCAAATCATCGAACTGATTGACTTTAAGTAATGACACTATAACATGAACTGGAATCATGTGAGAATAAAATTTAAGTTTAACCGTTATCTAAATATTGATCTCACACTTATACATTTGCTTATAATATAATTGAAATCCTAATGGATAGTGGATTCGTGTTTAATCTCCTTATAATCTTCGATATACCATGTGCATGATCATCATAAAAGCATTGATCTAGACTTCATATGTTGGGATTATAATTGAGATGAACATCTGGGAACATATATTCAAATAATGAAGTTCATAGTATTAACATCACTTTTAGTGATTTTAAGAAGATTGGTGATTAATCTAGACCTAGTGAATTGTTGAATTAGCTATGCATCACATCTGGATACACAAAAGATTAGATCTAGAGTATTGAATCACTAATTAGATGAAATTTGAGACTATAAGACAAAATGGACATAAAAGGTAAAACAGTAGTTTCAACTTTTGTCATTGAATGGTTATAAGGGTTCATAATATAAAGTTTGTAATTGGACAACTATTACTTAATATCAAGTTTTGAATCATTTCTTGTAATTATAGTTAATCCAAAAGTTCAACCATAAATCTATGGTGGAGTGATTTCATGGTTAATAAGTTTGAATTATCTTAATGAGATTAAGAATAATTCTAAGTTTATTAAAGCTTAGAATATCTATGTCTAAATAGATTTCCCACTTAACTTTGTAAAATTCAACTTGTTTAAGTTGAAATGCCTGTTGTTTTTGATTAATTAAATTATGTACAAAAATAGAAGCTTTAACATGTTTGTCTTAATTTAGACAAGAAAATATATTTGATCTCAATTTAGGCAAGAAAACATGTTATGTCTTAATTTAGATAAGGAAACATATTTTGTCTTAATCTAGACAAGAAACATGTTTGCCTCAATTTAGATAAGATAACATATTTTTATTTTAATTAAAGATAAGAGTTGTCGTAAATTAAGATAATAATAGAAGGATTTTTATAAAATGAATGTAGACATCTATGTTGATAAAAGGATACTCCAAGTTTGACTATCACTCTTTTATTTATTATTAATTTTTTTAAATAAAGATGGATAATAATAAAATATGAGTTATTATTCAACAAAGAGTTTTATTTTATCAAGAACTTTAAATGATAATTAAAAAATTAAATTATTTATTCTTTAATTTTAATTTTGATAATTATGGAGCATGTTTGATGTTTCCATAATTCTAAATAAATGATCAAGATTGATTCAAAAGTATTTGATTTTGATTAATTCTTTGAGGTAAGAGTTTTAATAAAAAGATAAAATATTGAAAGAAAAGAAACATGCGTACCTTTCTTAAAAAAGTTTCAATTGTCACGTATCTCCTCCTCCTCCTAACTTTGTCATGTCTCTTTTCCTCTTTCCTATTCTTGCTTGAATTTTTTTTAAAGAAAAATAGCCATTGATTTTTAGGAAGAAAAGAGAGACAAAATTGGTTGTCATCTTGTACTCTAGCATTTCACATATTGTTCACTCAAGGTTCAAGTTAAAAGTATTCTTGAAGAATAAGAGGTGAACTTATTTAGTCGAGAAATCAATCATTGGTGAGATGGTGTCTGAAAATACGAATTTCAAAATAAAAGATACATTTTATCTTACTTCATTATATTCTTATTTTTAGGATGTGATTATGTTACTTGAAATATGAATGATGTGTTTTTCACTTGTGTAATTCGATTGCATGCATCCTTTATAAAAGGTTTTTTTTTAAATTCATATTTTACACAATCACATCAATCCACTTAGATCCAACTCCAACAAGAAGTAGTGTTGCTAAACACTCTCGAAATGTGGAACCCAATTACATGTATACGGGGGATGAAAATGTGGGAACTGGTGATGACTACTTTATAAAAGGAAGTGTTACCCTAGAAGATTTGGTAGTAGTGCTGTAAAGTTTTTTTTTTTATAATTAGCGACGGGGGATTCGAACCCTACTCTTTAGGCAGGAGAATAATGCACCAACTAATGAGTCAAATGCTCGGGTGCTAGTGGTGTTGCAAAGCTTGCCTCATGAGTTTGTTGAGTTTCCTAAAAAAGCTGAGGTATATTCTAAGGAATAGGTAGTTTCTAGTTTGCAAAATCCAAGCTACGTGCCTTGGTGTGAACATTATAGAGGGGCTATTGAGGTTACTTTGATAGATTTTATGAAGCTAAAGCCCCTGTCATTTGCTAGGTTAGATGTGAAGGAAGATCCGCAAAGATTTTTGGAAGACATGGAGTGCATATGTTCTGCTTTAGGATGCTGCACTTATTAGTTAGTCGAATTGGTGGGATTTAGATTGAAAGGTGTGGCCCAAATATGGTTTATATCACTTAAGAGAAGTACACCATCTAGTTCTACCCCATTGACATGGGAGAAATTTGTCCAAGCTTTTCTAGATCGTTTCTTGCTTAAGAGCATTAAAGACAAAAAGGCACAAGATTTGAGACATTAGTTTAAACCCTGGATATGACCGTGATGAAATATGATGTCCGATTCACCTAATTATCTAGATACGCTCCTAACTTGGTCTTGATGAGGAAACAAGGATCAAGAGATTTATTAGGGGATTGATTAAGCCGCTGCCTAAAGTTCTTGTCACCTAAAGGTTTGCCTTTTATGTGGCAATGATGAATGCAGCCAAATTGATTGAAACAAGGAGAATAGAAACTATGATGAAAAGAAATAAAGGTTGTAAAGCTCGAACACAAGGCCAACAGGGCTTTGGAGATTCTAATGCTACTAAGAGTCCAACACCTATACACCATCAAAGTTGTGAAGGAACCACTCCTATGCGGAAGCCACCAAGGAATAGTAATTCATTTAACCCACCTTCTAGACGAAAGCAGTTTAGCAAACCATTTAATTTAAGCCCCAATAGGAAGGATGTTCTATGTAACTATTGTGAGAAGGCACATGGTGGACCATGCCACAAAGCAATTAGGTTATGCTTTATGTGTGGTAATTTGGACATTTGATAAGGGATTGCTCAAGGCAAAGACAATCATCATAAGTTAACCATGGATATGTATGACAAGTTGCTACTACCTTGCTTAGGATGGCACCATTTGCTAGGAATGTCCAAGGTGACAAAGGCAAAGATATAGCCTCCTCGTCTCAAGGTAAACTAGCACAATCGAGTAATGATGGTGGAGGTCAAGCAAGGATGTTTGCGCTAACACCACAAGATGCTCTTTTTGAACCCAATTTTGATGTCAAGCACTTGGAAATTTGCTTTTGACGTTTGAAGGTGTAGTCTTGATACTTGAAGTCTTCTATCTTGATGCCTTTAGACTTTTTCTCTAAATTCTAAAGATTGAAGCAAGGCTCAATACGTAAGATGTGTGTCTTGATACACTTGGCCTTGCTCTAAAAGATTCTACTCTTCTGAGAAGTTGTCTTGATACATTTAGTCTTTGTTCTCGATACTTTGATATGCATTCTCTGGAAAAATGACTCTTATTGAGTGAAGTGTCAATGCTGTCTAAAGTTGTCTCAATACACCTTCATACTTAGGCTATTACCTTAGGCACATGAAACAACAAGTCTCGATATTCTTTTCCAAGGTCTCGACAGTACAGGTTAGTTTAAGCCTTAAAACACATAATTAATCTTGAAATGCATAGCCTATTTGTCAATCAAAAGCATAAGGGTTTTTCACTAAGTCCTAATGCACTAAGCATTCAATATTTTGATCATTAACTTTTGTAATATTAAAACAAAGATCAATCATAAAGCTAACAAAATTATTTGCTACAACTCTTGGCACTTAGAATGCAAAGTTTACGATGGGAATAAGGATGACAAACATTATGATGGAAGAATCATTGAAATCATAATCATCTAACTTTAAACTTTACGATGGCAATAAGGATGGATTCTAATTACACTTTAGATGTTGACAAGGCATGGGCAGCTTTTAAAACTCTTTAAATCTCTACCTAATCCTTCATGCCCAATGAGCATGTGTTAATTAACTAGTTAGGTATGATTACAAAAAAAAGGGTAGACAATTTAAAGTAAAAAAGACTGATTATTTAAATTAAGATCTTAAATTTGCATATTCTTGAAGTTGAATAATGATCATTTAATTCTTAATGATATTTTAACATTCTTATGCCAAATTAGTATACTAGTAGGGTGATATATTCCTATGTACTAAATGAAGTTTATTTTTTGCTAAACATCTAAACTAATAGAGTAAGATTACATAGTATTCTAAAATTCACATTATGAATTGGAAAGCTATTCATTTTCATTTGCAAATGAAGTATGTGTATATTTGTTTGCTAAAAAAAATAAAGTGTTTGTGTGCGTATTATCAAAACCAGTTCAAGGGAAATGTTCCCTTGAAAGCAACATAAGCTACACTAAGCACGCAATAACAGCCAACACATAATGATAGCTAAATAGACAATACCAACCAAGCAAATAAAACAACCAAGTACACAAGCTA